TTTTAGTTTCCATTTTCAACAGCCTTGCCAATGATGCACGTTACAAATGTGCCACGCCCACTTCACATTGGCGCGCCTGTTAATTTTCAAACCCGTGGAGAACCCTGTATATTGTATTTTACATGTAAAATGCTAAAACTAGTCTTTTTAGTTCATTTAAAGGATACCGTCCAATAAGCTTCGATGACATTGATGTCTTTGCCGCACTCACTATACTATCCTTGCCGAGTTCGTCTGTACTTATTGTAAGGTGTTCTTGGATGAACCGACAGGCTTCTCTGTAAAAATATGAGATGTTGAAAATAAACGAAAAATCTACAAAAGAATTTCATGTGTACTGTAATTATCAAGGTTAATCTGTATTCACTGGCTAAAAAAAATCAAAACTCCACACACCGAGTTGTCAAATGAGTGATCTGATCTTGATTCAGTTGTCACTGCAGTTTCAGGAGCCAGAAATATCGAAACATGAAATAATGAATCCCTTGCATGGTTCTAGCAAAATTTGATGTCAATAAATATATGAAATATATGAAAAGTGGAAAAATGTGTACTGATGACAAATTTATGAGTGTTTACTGGAGAAGCAGAGTAACTGAGGTGAAATTGTCACTATGAATAACAGAAAATAACAGATTACAGTATTACACATGACGAAGCAATGTGCCCTTTAATAGGACTGATTTTGTAGAGATCTTGAGTCAAAATGGAATTCCAAAAATCAAGTTGGGTCGACTTGGTGACTGCTGGGAGAGAGTTTTTCAACAACAAAAATCAAGACTAATGTGGCTATACATGTAAGTAACAATTTGAAGGCAGAAACAAAAATATTAGGACCCCTGATTTCCTTATATTTTCACATTAATTTTGTTTATAATATTGCAACCAAACTATTCAACTATAGTAAGCTATTTTTCGAGGTAGCTTTTCAATATATGATTTTCTATTGAGTCAATGACAGTGAATGACCATGAGTAGATGTCAATAGAAACTTTGACACCCTTAGCAACACCAACAGGAAAGGGGGAGGGGGAGGGGGGTCCTCATGGAAATCAGACAGAGACATCAATAGTCTTAGTAGTTTCAGAGAAGAAGCTGACATACTTGCAAGCCAGTCTGTATCCGCTGATAACAGAAGTAGGATGGATCTTCTGTTTAACTAACTCGTCTGCATTCTTTAATAACTCCGCTGCTATAATGACCTAAAGTGAAATAATAATAAATATCTGGATTCTATCACCATAAGTGTTTTTAAGAAAATCTCTCACTTGTTTTAGGATATCTGCTCATGATTGAAAAGGGTAGGGCATTAGAAATACCACTTGACCAAAGATTGTGTCCTTTTGGTTGTAATCACATTGAAAACGAGTTCCACTGTCTATTACAATGTCCCAAATTTGAGGTAATTAGAAATCGTTTTATACACAAGTTTTACTATTGCCCAGCGCTTGAATGGAAATTTATTTTGCTACTGCAATCTGAAAATACACATACAATACAAAATCTTGCAAAATACGTATTTTATTCTTTACAAAAACGTGTCGTCATAGTTTGTTGGAAGGAAATTTAACTGAAATATAAATATAATTTGGTATTCATAGGTGAAGTATAAGTTTGTATTCAGACAAGTAGTAGCAGTGATTATTCTTGTCAAACGATCTATTTATTTGTGTTACATTTAAGTGCGTACATTTTGGCCTATGGCCAATGGTACTGAATGAATATATTATTATTATATATAATAATAAATATTTGATGTCATGGTGAGGCTACAAATTAATTCATTGAATCATTTCTCTCACTGATTTGACAACGTAATGACACACGTTTGATAACTATTGTTAGTTGTCCACTGTTTGTGTTCATGTAAGCCCTCTAGTGATGGCTACTTATATGACGTAAAAACGGGAGACTAGGAAGCATCAATGTTTCTATATGATACCTCCAGGTTTGCACTGTCAGAAATAAAGAAATTATTTGCACGAGTTCAAAAAGTAGTCTCAAAAGCGAGCAAAAAATAAAATCAAAGAAAGCTTAGAAAGAACTCCCATGTGCTAAGAGTATTGGAGA